TTGTTGTGCTACTGGGGCTGGGATAGGAGCAAGAGCTTTGATAAAGAATCTTGTTCTCAGAATTCTGCAAAAGGATAGTGGTATCGACAACAAATATTGTGAGCTTAATTAAGAGATGTCCCAAAACCAAACCTAATGAAAAGCTAAGCTATTAGTATCCATCGTTTTTATTCCCGTCATAATGTGTGATGATGTGCTGAAACACATTGGCTGAAACTCTGCCCATGCTTGCTTCATTTTTCGCACAGTTTCCGCTTTTTGGTTGATTTTATTTGCTGACTTTTCTGGATAGAGGTTTTTTATTCTGCGTTGTTTTGTTTTTCCCATAGCAAGGCCCATTTCTCCTAATGCTTTTGCCATCTGCTCAGCAAATTGCCGATTTGCAGATGTTTGTACCGAGATCCGAAATGAGCTGGAGCGGTTTCCAGAGAGATGACAATACTTTTCACCCATTTCAGTAGTCGCTTGTTTTATGTATACATATTATAATAAATATAGATCAATTTACCGGAATACCATAAAACTAGCAAAAGCCACTCACTAAAGTGACAGAATATCGAAATATTTCGATGTTCACTTTTTTTAAATGGAATGGAATGGAATCGAATTTTTAAATTCTTAGTTCTCGTTTTTTGGATTCAGATTATGCATAATATGTTAATGTTTCTTTCAATGGTATTGAAAATATCTGGAGTTCAGTTATTCAAAGACCTATTCAGAATGCTTTGTGACAGGTATATCAAGGTGAAATATATTCAAAAAACTATGACCAACAATGTTGAACAAATCCCAAACGTGTATTTTCAAGTGCAAAACGACCGTGTAAGCTGGTACATTCTGAATCAGAAAAACTTTAGGAATTTGAAAGAAAATGCATTCTATATGAAAAAAGTGAACATCGATATATATTTTTACTTTGCGATGCTCCTTAGTTCAGTCTAATTAAAAATTATGGCGGTTAACATAAAATGCTAGAACTTTTGAATTTACACCTTTTACCTATCACCTGTAATTACGGCTGCAGGTGGGTGCCAAAATATGGTGACTTGCCCTGTACATATTGCAATTATCAAGCTTCACGTTTGTTATTTTTAAAACTTAGGATTGTAGCTTGATTCTTCAGGAATACATCTGACGTATTACCGTTATCAAATGATTCGTCTTTTCAGCATATACAGGGATGGAAAGAAAGTCAGTAGTTTTCAAAGTTTTTTGAGATACTTTGTGGAAATTCAGAACAGTTTTCATCACCAAATTGTAGCCTGATCTTTTCCGAACATTTTCATATTTTATTCACTCTGGATATTTTTAATATTATTGAAAATACAGAGTTTCGAAGAAAAGGTGGATATTGACCTTAATTTTTTCCACGTTGACATACAAATTGCCTGAATTGGATATGAAAATGTGTCGCTTACCAACTTCAAGTCGTGTGTGTGAATGTTTACTTCAAGTTAAATATTGCTCGCAGTTTTACCTCTTACCGATCAATTTAATGTGGAAAAAATGCTCACAAAATATACAGGGGGATCAGAAAGTCCCTTTCATGATTTCCATTTGGTGGAACATTATTTATCTAAACTAAACTCTCTAATATCTCCCTTCACTCTTAACCAAGGCTTAGGACTTCTTCAATTGACCCCTCAACAGACCTCGCCACATCGGTAGGATATTGACGAATTTATTATTGTTTATTCAAGTAAAATCACGAATTTTCACTTTGACAGCCACTCAAAGAAAAGATCGAGTTGAAATTTATTTTTTTTTGGTAGACTTGGGATTTGGGAACCAATGGCAGAAAAAATCACAATAGCAAAAACTTAACGAACAATAACGATTCAAAACAGCGGACCAGAAAAAAATGAATCTTTCAATAACGCGTGTGGCCTCCACGTGCCCTTATGACAGCAGTCATTCGTCTCCTCATGTTTCTGATGACATCATCAATCACCTCTTGGGGAAGATTGTCCCAGATCTCAACCAGAGCAGCTGCTACTTGTTCGCGATTTTGAACTGCAGGAATTCTGGACTCTTCCCAACATGTCCCAGACATGTTTGATCGGATTAAGATCTGGGGAACATGCAGGCCGATCCATTGCTCTTATTCCGACGGTATTTAAAAAGTCGGAGACGCGGCAAGTCACGTGAGGGCGACCATTGTCGTGCATTAGCAGGAAGTTTTTTCCGAAATGAGGGGCGAATGGTACGACATTCTGTTGCAGAACATCTCGTATGTATCCGTCTGCATTTAAAGCGCCATTAACAACCACCAATTCTGTTCGTGCCCCTAAACATATCCCACCTCAGACCATTACTGAACCTGCACCATAGGAGACAGTAGCAGTGAAATTGAATTGTTCATTTTGTTCTCCTCGGCGGCAATATAATCTTTCCCTGCCATCGATCGAATTAATCCGAAAGCAGCTCTCATCTGTAAAAAGAACGTTGGTCCAATGGTCATATTCCCATTTTTCATTCTCCCTAGCAAAACGTAGACTTGCCACTCGATGACGCTGCTGGAGTTTTGTTTGGAGTTTTCTTTGTTTTATAGGCCTTTAAACCAATTTCTTTGAGCCTTCTCCTGATGGTTCGATGATTTGTCCTCCTTTCACGTACCGGGTGATTATCTATATTTTGCACCCACACCTATCGCACATATTTGAAGAGATACTAAGAAATGTCAAATGTGAAAGTTGTAGATCATATCAGAAAGTTTTCAATGAAGTTATTTACAAGTATACAGGGTGCGTCACAAAAGGGAGGCAAAGCAAAGTTGAACTTTTTTACATGCAACACCCCGTAAATAATTGACCCATTGGATTAGCCTTTTAAACCTGATTCCAAATATACTAGGTTTTCTAGGTTTATTCTGAATATACAGTAGACTCGCACCAGTGTGAACACACGCTTCTGGGCTTCTGTGAACCTCCCAATAGCTTAAATAGCTAGAATGAATACATTGTATATTTGTAGTGTGAACTTTTGAGAATCTCAGTAGTATGAACAATATACACTTGGCCAAACATAAAACTGGTACAGGCAATAGGTATTTTTTAAATTTACCTAATGCGAGTCTAGCTTAACAATAAAATGTTTCTTCTAAAAAACTCAGGTTAGACAAATGTCATTGGGTTAGACAGTTTTTGACATTCGACATTGTCGAATGTATTTGCGGCGGCATTTTGTTTGATTTAAAGATGACACTGACTTGACTCTTTTTGTCATTTTTGAGGTGATAATAAAGGTCGATTGTCACAATACAACACATAGGAAAATGCATCTACCAGTTTTATGTTTGGCCAAGTGTATTTGACCACGAATTTAAGCGTTTTCTATCCGATTCTGGGATTCCCCGAATGTTTCCAGACAAGGAATGTACAGATACCTTAAGTTACTGCATTCACTCAAATGTGGAATACACATGTAATAAACAAGTGGAAAAGAGCACGTTTAAAAGTCAGTAAGTTTTTAGTTCGTTGTTGTTGTTCCGTTCAAATTTTGCCTTAATACGTAACTGAGATTTCGAATGAATTCGGTAATTGATTCAAGTATTTGTGAGGATATTTGGAAAGCTTTGTACCTGGGGATTAATATTTTACAGTGATTGATAGGTTTCGCATTGGATTTTACTAGATTTCTGCCTCTTTGATTGGATGCGAAACAATATCTAGTTGTTGAACAAGGGTATATTTTTTGAGGTAATTCTGAGATAATCCTTTGTATTGAGGGGGACAGGGTAGTTTTAGGATAATAAAATCCTACTAATAGGATCGAAATCCATTTTATTTAGCTTTCAGAAGTTATCTGAAAGGCCCTAAATGTCGATGAAAAGGTTTGTTTACTTCCAAATAAATATCAATTGAAAACACTTACGAGTCTCGTATTTTCCATTAATACAAATTCTGCAATTTCACAGCCTTTAAATCGCTTTTTCACCCTTATTTCCACTATTTTTCACATTTTCCCGGTTATTTATTTCCGCAGAATACGTGTAGTTAAGGGACACTTGGATTCGTTTCAGGCAGCGCTGTTGTCGAGGTTTCTTGACCACTGTGGGTAATAGAGTTACTGTAGTTGTGACCACTGAACGACTGGTCATTTAGATAGTTTTTAGACTAAAGACTGGGTAGATGCTGATTAATAAATTATGGACTGACTGGTAAACGTCTGGTTGTTACAGCAGGTACTTTCAATGCACTAGAGAATAGAAAGTACCTGCTAGGGAACAACCAGACACTTACCAGTTGGTCCATAATTTGGCCCTAAACGTAATTTTTTCTGTTCAAATAAGATTAAATTCGTCAATATCCTACCGATATGGCGAGATCTGTTGAAGGATAAATTGGAGAACTTTTAGGCCTGGTTCAAGTGTGAAGGAAGAGTTAAGTTTAGATAAATAACATTCCACCAAATGGAAATCATGAAAGAGACTTCCTGATCCCTCTGCATGTTTGTGAGCATTCTTTTCACAATAAATTGATCCGTAAGAGGTAAAACTGCGAGCAATATTCAACTTGAAGTAAACATTCACACACACGACTTGAAGTTGGACAACGACACATTTTCATATCCAATTCGTATGTCGACGTGGAGAAAATTAGGGTCGATATCCACCTTTTCTTCGAAACTCTGTATTTTTAATAATATTGAAAACAGAGTGAATAAAAAATAAAAATGTTCGGAAAAGATCAGACTACAATTTGGTGTTGAAAATTGTTCTGAATTTCCAGTGGTTCACTCCACAGGGTGTCTCAATAAATTTTGAAAATTACTGACTTGACTTTCTTTTCATCCCTGTATATGAAATAAAAAGGAACCATTTAATAACGGTAATACCGTCAGATGTATTCCTGAAGAATCAAGCTACAATCTGTGAAAAATTTATCGAAATCGAGCGGAGGGTTCAAGAGAAAATGGATGACAAACTTAGTGTAAATTTTGTGCGTTCCCCGAATTTTTCTATGGTGTGTGTAGTTTTCGACAGATTCTTAATAAATTACCTGGACAAGTTTTACAACATTTTCCTGGTTCAGGTGGCAAAGGATTCGGACAAGGCGTGTGGCACTGTAGATCGGACACTGTAATAATGCCAGCTTCACATCTCATTATTTTACACGGATTCACTGGATCTATCCATTCTGTATGGCTGTCATATGGTAGGCCTTTGTAAGTACATCCTGGAGATTGCCACAAATTAAATCAATTTCTATAAATTGTGAAAGAATTAATTACCTTTACATATTTTGCAGCAGTCATTTTTTTCTACGACTAAATGACACTCGTCGACTCTCGGGCAATTGTTTTTGCATTCTACGTAGCCATTCTGAAACAATATTTTAAAAATTAGGATGATTATTCCAATGAAAAAGTTGGGCTAAGTAAATTTTAACTCAAGAAGTTGCATCTGTCCATAAACGTTATTGAGAAACATATGCAACATTTATTTTTCATTAAATCGAGCCAGGTGTATCATTCTTATAAGAAAAACAACTACAACCCAAAAGTAATTATCATTAAGTTTAATTAGATTTAGCGACAGGCAGACTGGACTGTCTGGAATGACCTATTTACAATGAAAATGAAATAAATTGCCAAAAGAATCTCCACGTTGGACCGTAGACACATTTGTTTAAGACGTTTTCTTCTATAGGTGCGAAGCTCCGGAATTTGCGTTGTTTGATCTTGGACGGGTGTAAAAATAGATTTTGACGAGCTGGAAGTATCCAGTTTTGATTAACTGCTATGTAAAAAGATTAAGACAAGTTAAAAAGTCCAGGTGTTTGGGAAAAACCAATCTGGCTTAAAATGTAATAATTTTGTCTATAAGTTAGCACACACAGAGTAAGCGAAAGGAATAAATAAATTTAATGATATTTACATTAAAAAAAAAAGAAAAATCTAATAAGTATACTCGTTGTTTGTTTTGTATGAAGGATAAGATCCTGGTTGTTTGCGAAACTGTGGTGGCACATTTTTGTGTGGCCAATTTGTATTGAAGTCAAGTGACGTAACGTCATCATCGTAAAGTATTTGACTTGCGGCAATTTAAGAAGAAAGGCACACAACACCAGCAGCACCAGTCCATGGTCCGTAAGAAGACCTTGCCGAGAGCGCATTGTCTTTGGAATTAACGCTCTGAAGAAGAATGTCCCGTAACGGCTCGCTCGCTAAAGTGGTTTTATGTTGTCTTTTTTTTTTTCTTCCTTTATTTTTTTTTTGTAGGTTGATCAACAACATTTTCAATAGTCTAAAGGCCTCGCCACATACACTCTACCTACTTACATCAGGTACGTGTATACGATTTCTTTTACTGCGATGCAGCTTGCTTTCCCTTCTTTGAATTTTTGTTCTTATTTTCATTTATATCGTAGAATAGTATAAAAAAGACAAAGGATTCTGATAAAAAGATGATAAAGGTTTTTAGACAATAATTTATTAGGACATGAAAATTAGAAGGGATTCATGGAATGTATAAAAAAACTTTAATAACCCGATGCCGAATCTTCACAAAACTTAAAAATTTCATCTCGAGGCGAAGGATTGAGATAGAAGAATATAATAGTATATCCACATAGGTAAGATGGATTTGAAACTTTGGCTCTGATTCTATGTAGTTTAATCATGAACTTATAGCAAAATTTTCTATGTCTAAAACATCTCATTTAAATCGAAAAATTACCTAGGTAGCTCATTGAGTAGGTAGGTACATTTTAAATTATTCGTATGAGCAACGCCAACGGTATGAGGTTATTTCCCTAATCGTTGTTTACTGTTGATTAAATAGGTGTTCACAGAAACAGTGAGGGCTTAAATGAAACAGATGGTTCACGTAGAGAGAATAGAAATATGAAAGTTTTTGTTGTGTTGAGTGGGATGGTTGAACAGGATAGTGGAAGTCTGAGTAAATCTATTTGAACGTTTTCCTAGTAAATATTCGGCATACGAGAAGTTTACTGAGAAAAAAATTGGTCACCACAAAAATCCAATCCGAAGGGTTACCGGGTGTCAAGTTATAAAGTACCACCACCTGTAATTTTTTTATGTACGATCAAAAATAAAAAACTTACAGAGGGTGGTACTTTAAAACTTGACACCCTGTAAAGGGAAAATATTTTACGCATGGGAATGATTCTCTTTTATTGACTTAGAAGATCATGCGTAGCTTCTTTTTGTCACATGATCAATTTATTTCAACTGCACCAATGCGAGAATGATTGCAATACTTCCTTAGTATTAGCATTGTGTATTAGACTGCAGGTCAGCATTATTATCTTGAGCAGATATTGCCATCAATCATAAATTGTTAGTAATAATTGGTAAATCGTTTTGTAAATTGTTGATGAATAGTGTAAAGAGTAATGGCGATATTATGCTACCTTGGGGCACACCACATGTCATTATTTTCTCATCAGAGATAATATCACTGGTTCCAGCTCTGATTTTACGTTCATCCAAGTATGATTTGATTTCAGCCAATTATTTGTATTACCCCTCCGTATAAGGGCATTGCCCAAAAAAGGGCAATAGCTAGTTCCGTCACAATTTGGTTTTCAAAAAAACTCTCAGCTTATGAAAGCATAATTTGTTATAATTCGGAAGCTACAAATAGAAGATCTGATTGACCTATTTTATGAAATTTCCAGCTAAAGTTGGTTATTTAAACTGCCAATCTATTTGGGAACCTACCCGACAGTTGGTCTTGAGTTTTAGAAAAGTATATGAATACCTAGGAGTTTCTATCTCTACACTTATCAACCTCATTACCAAGGTAAAAGTCGTCCAACGGTCCAACTCGCAGTTGGAACATATGATGTTGATTTCAACGATGAAGGATAGTAAGATTTAGTCACACTATTGATATACCTTGGTGGTAAATACGTTTCAGAAAATCATAGTTTTCAATTGCACCATCAACCCTTATACTTTTGGATACAAGGGGACCGTAATCTAAATTCTGAACAATCAATCTCCTACATAATACGACTGAACTATCATCATTTTATTTCGTTATCCTCCGAGAATTTCGCTGTTTTCAGCATTTTGAAACATTTGTTAGTACTTCACTTGCAGTTACACTATTTTAGCCCTTCAAAAGTTAAACATCTGTTCGGTTTTTATCTACCGCTAAACTTCTAGAAACGGAAGCGGTAATCAAAATCACTCGACCAGGAAACCATTTTTTATAATTTATGTATTTATTGTACTGTCGCGTGTCAATTTATCATTAATCCAGAAACTATTTTTATATTTTTTGCGCTTTAATTTCGAGTAAATTAGATATAATGCAACAATTCATCAAGGGAATGGGTTCATAATCATTATCATTTTCCGCCTTAAGTAACCATTGAGGAAGTAGTAAAATATATAAACAAAACTATTAACAGAGGTACAATAAAAACGTTTTTATTGCCGTTAATAAAAATCGCCAACAGGTAGTATAACAACGTCACAAGTGCAAATTGAATACAATAATGATTATTATTTCTCGAGACAAAGTTGATAATAATTGCAACGATCATCCATTAAATCAATAGTACCTAGTCTATTTGCCAATTTTATAACTTTAATGTTTTTCGCGTATGGATTTATGCAAAACTTATTATGCTTAATGAATATGGAGCTAATTAATGGCGTTTCAATTACACCATAAACGCGTCGTCGTTCTTGGTGGGTGTTTCCGCGAGATTAAAAACTGAAAATTTATTGATTTATTCTTGGAAATTGAATTGTACGCGCTATTAGCACTTTATGCTACTTTATTAGAAAATTATTCTTGTTAAATGCAAACTTGTTTTTACTCAATCAATAATTTACATATTTCACTTTGTACCTACTTATTTTAATAGTTATTTTGTTAATATAGGACTGTACTCTAGCCAATTATTTAACATAAAGTACCTACTTCAAAAGAGTTTATTATAAGTATCGTATGAAAAACAAGTTTTAGGAAAAAAAATCAGAATCGTTACGAAGTCTGTCATATTTGCTATCTTGATTTTGCTATTCAAGAAAAAATATAATATTTTTGACAATTATTACTTCCATGTTTCACGTTTCCCCAGATTTTTATGATAAAGGAAAATCATCTAAGACACACGAATAAATATTTATCGAAAATGACCTCTAGTTAGCGTAAACACAACGAGGTCTTCAGATAGTGTCAATAACCTAGCAGCCTTTTTTTTAACTTCTGATAATGAAGGCTTATGTTTCCAATTTAATTTAGTTTATAAAGCTTTATTTAGTATCGGAATGTCTACAAAAATCTTAAAATTCTGAAATTATACTCTTACATGGATAATACAAACAGTGAAGATGTAATGATTTAAAAAAAAATATATATATATACCTATTGAACCCAATCTCAGTTAAAACTTCCTACATTACAGAAAATTTACCGGTACCGGAGAAATCTTAGCGTAAGATAGGTCATGGATTGGAGATATAAGTTTGAGAATTTCTAAATTTTGATCGTTGAAAGTAAATCTCGAAGTAAATTGAAATGGACAGGTTCTAGGTTTTCCATGGATCAGCTGAAGCCTTATCGAGAATTAAAAAAAAAGAAGTCATACAATAAGAATTGTTCAACCTATACTTAAATCCAGGTCATCAAACCAGAGCAATGGATAGAGTACTACAAGGGTCTATAACAAGAAAGTAGATCGTAGAATATACAGGGTGTACCATTTAAAACGAAACAGGCTAAATATCTAATGCCACGTTTATTTTTTAAAAAATCGCTCCTATACACGTAATTTGATTTTTAAAGGGGGCCGTTTTCTGCAACCATTTTTAAAACTTTAACTTTAACCCTCTGGGCGGAGTAGGACCAACTTTTACTATTTCAAATGGAACAAAGGGTCGAGTGATACCTACCTCTTTTAAAAGAGCGTTCAATTCCCTTTATTTGATGTCATTTGAAAGAAAATTGAACATAACTCGACTTCCTGTTCCATTTGGAATGGTAAGGAATGGTCCCACACCCCTTAGAGGGTTAAGTTAGTGCTGAAAATGTTTCAAACACTCACACAATCAAATTTCGTGTACGAGCGATTTTTGAAAAAAATAAAAGTGACATCAGATACAGATAGGTATTTAGCCTGTTTTGTTTTAAATGGTATACCCTGTATATTAGGAGGCGATGTCACCTTAAAAAACAGCTTGTATTCAGAAAATAAAGAAAACAATTCTAAGAACCCTTGTGAATATCTCGTATCGCTAGTCAAAATACTATGGTAGATACGCCTAAATAAAGTTTTGTCTATTCATTGCGTAACGTCATGAATACACGCAAAAATTACAAAACCTTTTTAAACTGACGCA